ACGCAATCTGAGGTATCGGCGATGCCAGCCGGACTACGATGCAATGCAACATCAAATTTGCACACACATGGTGGGTTCCAACCATAGAGCTCATCGTGGTTCACAACAGCGGCCGCTTTTGTCCCTCCTCCCACCCCAAGCTCGCCCCCACCCCCGTACCGTAGTCGGCACCACTCACCTGGTCACCCGTGTTTGACACTGCTTTCCGCTGCCGAGCGGCCTGCTTCTGCTGCATGTCGTGATGCTCTGGCAGCAGGACTGGGTCATTGCTTACTGCCTGAGGGTGTTGGAGATGGTAAATGGCACTGCGCTTGCATGTGCGCCGGTGCTGCTGGCAAATCAGCCTCTGTCAACACTCACACGCTCCGGGGCAAGCGTTTGCCATGATTTGTCACGGTGCACGCGTTGAAAAGGAAAGTAGCAGCTCCTTGGCATCTTTGACAGCTCGTGTCACCCACCATTGTGAGGCTCGGAGACAGATGTGAGGGACGCACGCGGGTTGTGGTTTTTGCGCCTGCACCTGAAATTTTGAGCTGTCGGACAGGATTCGAGTAAGCCGTGTTTTTATGATGCTGTTGCAGCCACCAACCAGTTGATCTGAGACAGAGAGGCCCGGCTACAGCAAGTTTACCACAAATCACATGAACGAAACGTAAGCCTCAACACACGTAGACGAAATCGGATAGGGTCATGTGTTGATTTCTTTCATGACACACTGGCGCCCAGCTAGTGACGGCGCCGCAGCTGCTGCAGGTGCAGCAGGTCGTGGTCCTGCTGCGCTCAAAGGATGGGACGAAAGGAGAAGCGATCGCAGGAGCGAAGAAGCCGCAGCTTTTCCTACAGCCGCAGCCGCAGTCGCAGCCCCGACGAACGCAGCTCCAAGCGGCGGCGGCGCTCCGCCACCGCATCGCCCGACGAAAAACCAGCGCGCGCTGCTGCCAAGCTCCTCAAGTATGCGGCCCGCGGCGACGCAAGGAAGGTGCGGCGGCTGCTTAAAAAGCACCCAGCGGTGGCGCGCGCGCCAGTGGACGGCGGGCACGGCGCGACGACACCGCTGCACGAGGCGGCGCGTCGCGGGTTTGCGGGTTTAGTGCAGCTGCTCGTCAGGTGAGGGGCGCGGGGGCCCAATGGGCCAGCAATTTCGCAATGCGAGCGTGGATGCCTCGAACTTGCTGGATGCATGGAGTTACAGCTAGCAGGTTGCACACGTGCTGGGCTGGGGGTGTCAGCGCCGCCAACGTGCTACCCGGGCACGATGCTCTGGCCGGCAACCCTGGCGCCACCATCCAGCTGCGCCGACCGGCCGTTCCTCTCTTGCGCGTCGAACCACCACCAAAGGCACGGCGCTGACGCGAGCGCGGGGGACGCGCTGGGCAACACCCCGGCGCACCTGGCGGTACAAGGGGGCCACCTGGACCTGCTCGTCACGCTGCTGCAGGTGACGGCGCCAGGCGCGCAGGCTGCCCTCGGCGGCACACACCTACAGATGTGCGCCCCGTTGGATGGAGTAGAGTCTGTCTCAGCAGGCATGTGCGGCCTCCCCTGCTGGAGCCTCAAGGGGGCGGGTGCAAGCAGGCGCCTGGGTTGGCACCTGAGGCGGCGGCTGAAGGGGCAGCAGCGCTTGCTCCCATCACCCCAACACGCCCGCGGGTGCACTCACAGCAGCCTCTGCTGTTCCCCCCTTCGCCAGGCGGACCGCCCACCCGACATTGACGCGCCCAACACAGCGGGCGTGACGGTGCGGCAGCTGTCTCGAGCTGCGATGGACGCAGGGGAGGCTGAGCGGGCGCGGCGCCAAGGAGTGCAGGGAGGCCCCGGCGGTCAGCAGCCGAGCAGCGGGGACGATGGGCGCGGGGATGATGACGAGGGTGACGAGGATGACGAGGCGGGGTGGCGTCAGCGGCTGCGCGAGGAGCTGAGTGATGACGAGGCTGGCGGGATCGGTTACGGCAGGTGAGGGGCAGGCAAGGGCAGCGGGGGCATGGGCGGTGTTGGACGGCAGGGCTGCACAGCGGGGAATGCACGCTGCCTTGGGGCTCGCACGGCATGAGGCTTGGCTGATGAGGGACGACTAAGACTAACGGCCAAATGGTATTTGGGTCCGAGGGAGCAGCACTGCGCTCCACCAGGCTGCAGTTGGTGCCGGCGAGGTGGTTTCTTGACGTCGCGGACCCCAATGCCACGCTCCGCTCACAGGAACAGCACTGCAGACAGGCCCTCCTTGCACCGGCACGCCCCCTCCCTGCGCCACCCGCCGCGACCCTCTGTTTGTCCCGCAGGTACCGCCCCGCGGCGCACGACGACGCCTTTTCCTGGCCCTCGGGGCTGGATGACGGCGACGACGACGGCTGGGCCGACCGCTTGTGGGCGGACATGCGCCGCCGGCAGCGCGAGGCCGACGCGGCCGCGCGCCGCGAGGCCGGGCTGCTGCGGGACGCGGCGGCCGCGCGCGCGGGCGCGGACGCGGAGCGG